GCGATTCTCCTGCATCAGCCTCCCGAGCAGCTGGGGTTACAGGTGCACGCCACAACGGCCGGCTAATTTTTGTATTTTCAGTAGAGACAGCGTTTCACCACGTTGGGCAGGCTGGTTTTGACCTCCTGACCTCCTGATCTGCTCCGGCCTCCCCAAGTACTGGGATTATAGGCGTGAGGCACCGCGCCCGGCCCTGTTGTCTTATCTAGAGCACAGAGTAGGTCTGGCATCCTTCTCAGGGGCCCTAGGATTTGGGGAATGGTAAAAGCCCTGGCCTCACCTGAAAGTCACCAGCTGCATTAGCCCCTAACAAGAGGGTGGGGGGGGGCTTTCCTTTCAAGCCAGGGAAGCACTTCTCCCACTTGGGGAAAGTCCTGGGTGCCATCTTCTTCCAGCAGAAGGCTGCTTCTTCCACACTGAAAATCCGCTGAGCACAGCCACCTCCATCAATGATCTTGTCTGAATGCTGGCTAACGTATCTCCATCTGCACTTGCTGCTTTTCACCTTGAACTTGAGTTTTTTGGTGGTTTTTTTTTTTTTTTTTTGACACGGGGTCTCACTCTGTCACCCACAATCACAGCTTGCTGCAGCCTCAACCCCCTGCGCCCAAGCGATCCTCCCACCTCACTGGTGCTCCAGAATAGCTGGAGCTACAGGCATGCACCACCATGCCCAGCTAATTAAAAAAATTTTTTTGCAGAGGCTGGGCATGGTGGCTCCTGCCTGTAATCCCAGCACTTTGGGAGGCCAAGGTGGGCAGATCACTTGAGGTCAGGAGTTCAAGACCAGCATGGCCAACATGGTGAAACTCCAACTCTACTAGAAATACAAAATTTAAGCCGGGCATGGTGGCTCCTGCCTATAATCCCAGCACTTTGGGAGGCGGATGCAGGCGGACCGCTTGAGGCCAGGAGTTCAAGATCAGCCGCCTGGCCAACATGGTGAAATCCCCACCTCTACTAAAAAAAAAAAAAAGTACAAAAATTAGCTGGGCATGGTGGTACGTGCCTATAATCTGAGCTACTCAGGAGGCTGAGGCAGGAGAATCACTTGAACCAGGACCCAGGAGGCGGAGGTTGCAGTGAGCCGAGATCGTGCCACTGCACTAAAGCATGGGCTACAGACGGAGACTCCTGTCTCAAAAAAACAGAACTACGCAGGCGTGGTGGTGAAGCCTGTAAGCCCAGACAGCCAGGAGGCTGAGGCAGGAGAATCACTTGAACTCGGGAGGCGGAGGCTGCAGAGAGCTCAGATTGTGCCATTGCACTACAGCCTGGCCAAAGAGCGAGACACTATCTCAAAGAAAAAAAATCATCAATGGGCTACAATAAACTCACAACACAGCACTATATATTTCACTTTCATGAAAAAGTTATAATAAACCACCATGTTACTCCCTATCTCTGTGGATGGGCCTGTCCTGGAGATTCCTTTTCTTTCTTTTTTTTGAGACAGAGTTTCACTCTTGCTGCATGGCCTGGAGTGCAATGGTGCGATCTCGGTTCACCACAACCTCCACCTCCCGTTTCAAGCAATTCTCCTGCCTCAGCCTCCCGAGAAGCTGGGTTGACAGGTGCACGCCACCACGCCTGGGTAATTTTATATTTTTAGTAGAGACAAGGTTTCTCCACGTTGGTCAGGCCGGTCTCGAACTTCTGACCTCAGGTGATCCACCCGCCTCAGCCTCCCAAAGTGTTGGGAGTATAGGCGTGAGCCGCCGCGCCTGTCCTGTCCTGGACATTTCATAGAAATGGGATCGCACACTACAAGTCCCCTGTGTCTGGCATCTCTCGCTGAGCCTGATGTCCTCAAGGTACGTCCGTGCCATGGCCTGCGTCGGGGCTGGGTCATGTTCAGGTGCGTGAAGGACCACACCACGCCACCTCCTCTGCTGACGTCCATCTGGGCTGTAGCCACCGTCTGGCTGCTGGACTCCGCAGCTGTATTTCTCACAGGCTTTTGTGTGGTCATGGGTGTCCACTCCTCTTGGATATGTAGCTGGGAGTGGCCTTGCTGGGTCGGATGGGAGCTCCGTGTGCGTCACTGAGGAGCTGCCCGGCCGTGTCCACAGCGGCTGGAGCGAGTTATACTCCACCCGCTGTGCCTGAGGGTCTGATTCCTACACACCCAGTCACCGCTTCTGTGAGGTTTGGTTTCTGTTTTTGCTTTGAGACAGGGTCTGGCTCCGTCGCCCAGGCGGGAGCACAGCGGTGCCACCTCAGCTCACTGCAACTTGTCTCCCAGGCTCAAGCAATCCTCTTGCCGCAGGCTCCTGAGTAGCTGACTACAGGCATGCACCCCCATGCCTGTGTTGCCCAGGCTGGTCTCAAACTCCTGGGCTCAAACAATCCTCCATCCCCGGCCTCCCGAAGTGCTGGGATGACACGCATGCGCTGGTGGCCCCAATTCTGTGCTTCTGGGCACATCCATGCTGGGGTGTGCTTTGAATGTGCATTTTTCGGCTGACTCCTGGATTTAGATGTCAGATTTCTCCACTGGACTGGGTCAGGGGTGCAGGGAGGGGTGCGCTGGTGCTGCAGCTGAGGGAGGGGCCGGAGACACTGACGTGACCGAGTGGCCATGGGTCAAGGGATGACAGCTGGTGGCCTTCACCCAGCTTAGCGGGCAGATTTCTCAAGCTACCGACTCTCCTGACTGTCCAAACATCCAGAAACGCCCACGCATGGCTAACCTAGTTTCTCTAAACCAACTCATATTAAAATTTAACTTCCTTCCTGGGCGTTTTGGGGGGGGCAGTCTCCTCATGTGCCCTGGGAAAGGGATCCGTGAGAGGCAGATCCGCCCCCGCCACAGCTCATCTCTCTCCCGTCACAGGGACAGGGCACCCAGGCTCCGCTGTCCTGGTATCCCCCACCAAGGCCCTGCTCCTGGAACCAGCCACCAGCAGGGCCTTCTGGGGAAACGGACAGCACGGCCTGGAGCAGAGGCCGCCGGGCCCGCCTGCGAGGCTCCTTGGCATGGCTGGAAACTCAGGGTGACATGCACACCCTAGCCAAGAGGGACATCCAAGGCACCCCCACCCAATGCCTCTGTGTAGGGAAAGCAGCAGCAGCTCTGATGGCTGAGCCAGGCTCAGGTCCTCCACCCACCACGGCCAGGTTCTGACCACAGGGACCACCACACCGCACCGCCCCCAACCACACCCCTCCACAGCAACGAGAGCCACGGGGAACAGCCCATCAACAGGAAGAATGCCACAACTGTGACAGCCCGGGCTGGGGTCACACTGGGCTGTCCTGGTCACACCCTGCCCATCCATCCATCCGTCCTTCTACTGTGGCTGCCTCCAACCCCGCCCAGACAACAGCTAACAAGGTGGACAGGGAGACTTCTGCAGAGGACCGCCATGGGGGGTGACGCATCCATGGGAGAGAAAACTGGAGCCTGGGGCCTCTCCCCTGCCTGCCCCCCGCCACCTCTCCCCTGCCCAACCCGCTGGCACAGAACACTCTCCCTCTGGAAACCCTCTTGGGATCCACAGGAAGAGGCACTGAAACATCCATGCCTGCATTTTTTTTTTTTTTTTTTTTTTGAGATGCAGTCTTGCTCAGTCGCCACGCTAGAGTGCACAATCTTGGCTCACTATAACCTGTGCCTCCCAGGTTCAAGCAATCCTCTGCCTCAGCTTCCCAAGTAGCTGAGATTACAGACACCCACCACCACGCCCAGCTAATTTTTGTATTTTAGTAGAGACAGGGTTTCACACGTTGGCCAGGCTGGTCTTGAACTCCTGACCTCAAGGTGATCTGCCCGCCTCAGCCTCCCAAAGTGCTGGAATTACAGGTGTGAGCCACTGTGCCTGACCTCCTTTTTTTAGTTAAAACAAGAGTCTTACTCTGTCACCCAGGCCAGAGTACAGTAGTGAGATCTTGGCTCACTGCAGCCTCCACCTCCCATGTTCAAGCGATTCTCCTGCCTCAGCCTCTCAAGTAGCTGGGATTAAAAACAACCCCCACCATGCCTGGCTAATTTTTTATATTTTTGGTAGAGACAAGGTTTCGCCACGTTGGCCAGGCTGGACTCGAACTCCCGACCTCAAGTGATCCGCCTGCCTCAGCCTCTCAAAGTACTGGATGACAGGTGTGAGCCACCACCTGCTGGAAGCCACCGAGCAGAGCCTCAAGAGCCACCAAAACCCTTGGAGAGGCCAAGAGGCTAGAGGCCACCGAGCAGAGCCTCAAGAGCCACCAAAACCCTCGGAGAGGCCAAGCGGCTGGCGGCCACTGAGCAGAGCCTCAAGAGCCAGCAGCACGGACCTCACCTGGAGAACAAATCCGTCCCTTCATGCCGGGAGGATGAAGTGTTCTTGGTCAGACAGCACGGACGGAGCCACAGCCTCAAGAAGAGCTACCGGCGCTGAGCTGTGGGAGTTACAGGGTGGCGGGGACAGCCGGAGAGTCACATCTCAATTATTAATACGAAAACCAACTTGCACTCTGGGAGCGAACGGAGATGCGGACTGGGAAGCCGTGTGGGGAGGGGACACTCAGGACCCAGAGCTGATGCCACACCCACACTCACCACTGGCTGCTGCGGCCCGTGCCTGGCAGAGCTGAGGCCCTCTCCACCCTCCTGCTCCGAGCACCGACCCCGTGTACCCTCCCTGCCGAGCCCTGCAGGGCGGCACTGTCGGGCTCCCATTCCCCCACACATATGTTCGGTCACCCAGAAATGACCAGCAGCTCTTGTTCCCTCCACATATACACCAGGTGCCCAGAAAGGACCGGGCAAGGCCCAGCAGCCTCTGGGGGCCACCGAGGAGGACGCCGTGCTCGGACAGGCGCTGGGCACAGGCTTTGGCGGGAAAGCTGGGACTCCCGATCCCCTCAATTTCAGGCAGGGCAGACAGGGCCCTCAAGGACAGTCCCCCACGAGGCTGCGCTGGCTTCCAAGCCTGCAGACCCGCTCAGGGGGAGCCACCTGCTCGGCCACTGCCGTCCCTCAGGCACCCCATTAGGAAGCGAGCAGGGTGGTCGGTATGCGTCCCGACACCCCACTACGGGACGCGAAGGGCGTGCGCCTCCAATCTCTCCCTGTGCACAGGGGACGCACGAGATGCCGTGAGGCTGGCTCTGCCGTGCCCGGAGCCCCGGGAAGTAACCATGAATGATGGCCGGGCGTTGTGGCTCATGACTGTAATCAGCCTCGGCCGTGCCACACACACACCGCCCGCCAAGCACCCGCCCTACTGTGTTTCCAGGGGAGATCTGGCAGCTGCTTGGAGGCAACCAGACGCCCTCAGAGGCCCCTCTGTGCCCACACCCGCAGCAACCCGGGGTCCCTCGTACCCTCGTCTCTGCCTGTGTGATAAGCCGTGAAAGTGGCCCAGCGTGTGGCGTCTGCCTGGGGCCCTGCAGGGACAAAGGCATGGTTCGACTCCCTCGGTGAGGACAAACACGAAGCGAAGACAGAGGCCCTACACTCAGCGTCCCTAACGGCAGACCCCAGGCCCTCCACACACCCGCCACCCAAGCCGCAAGGGGCAGCCCCGTTCTCTTCCAGGCTCAGCACGTGGCTTGCACGAGTGCTTAACACACCCTGGGACACCTCTCCCCCACTCTGCTTCCTCTCTGTGCCGCCTGCGTGACCTCCCTACTACTTATCCTTGCGGCCTCCAGGCTGGGCAAGATCCCCTTCCGGCTGCAGGGCCACCCGCTGCTCCCCATCTAGGCTGTCCCTCCTGATGCGATGGCCCTCAAGCCTGTGGGGCTGCCTGGAGGGAGGTGGGGTCTGCATCCAGGCTGCTTTTCTTCCTAGCTGTCCCTGGCTCACTCTCTCCACAGCTGGGGGACCCCCCGGGCCCAATCCCACCCCCCGGCTCTGGGTGGCACCGTTTAAATGACGCATCAGGGTGAGACCAATGAACGCGGGCACCACCACCAGCCTTGCCCCTGCGGAATCCCCCGCCTGCTCCCTCCTTCTCTCGTCCAGGTGAACTGTTGGCTTGGTCAGATTCTTCCACTGAGTAACCGTGAATGACGGCCAGGCGCGGTGGCTCACGCCTGTAATCCCAGCACTCTGAGCGGCCAAGGCGGGCAGATCACCTGAGGTCAGGATTTCGAGACCATCCTGGCCAACATGGTGAAACCCCATCTCTACTAAAAATATAAAAATTGGCCGGACACAGTGGCATGTGCCTGTAGTCCCAGATACTCAGGAGGCTGAGGCAGGAGAATCGCTTGAACCTGGGTGATGAAGACTGCAGTGAGCGGAGATTGGGCCACTGCACTCCAGCCTGGTGACAGAGTGGGAACTCCGCCCAAAAAAAAACCCAAAGAAACCATCATAAGTGACGTGTGATTAATGGCCCGAGTTAACTCAATCAACCGCCACCCGCTCAGGGTCAGCAAGGGTGAGCCCTAAATTCCGGACGGAGCCTCTTCGGGCTCTCTGGGGCATCCTTCTGGCCCCAAGGCAGAAGCTTCTAGATGGTCGTCTCTTCACAGCCCCCACAGACACAGGCATGGCCTGTGCCCTGCGTCTGCTACTGTCGCGTCCATCACAGCCGCCTCCTTCAACACTCCCCCATCCCCAATACTCAGGCCACCAGGTGGGACTCAGCACGTCCCACCCAGCCCCTCTGCGGAGGATCAACGCCAACTCCTGGAAGAGCCCATGCCACAAGGGTGAACACTGTGCCACGGCTGCCGGGTCTGAGGACAAACAGTGGCCTCATGGGCCATGACGCGTGGTCTTGTTTTTTGAGACAGGGTCTAGCTCCGTCGCCCAGGCTGGAGTGCCATGGCGAGACCTCGGCTGGCTGCCTGCAACCTACGCCTCCCGGGTTCAAGCGAGCCGGGACCTCCTGAGCAGCTGGGACCACCGGCTCGCGCCCCCACGCTGTCTGGTCTTGACTCAGCTAAGTGCGCTCTGGCTTTTGCAGAGAAAAAGCACCAAATCCCCACCCTGGCTGCAACTGCAGAGAAGCCCCAGCCCCCAAAACCACTGAAGTGGGCGCTGCTCTGCTGGGCCCGGGGCCCCACTGCTCCTGGCACCCCCCGGAAGCCTCCCTGTGCCACCCTAGGTTCTCATCCAGGTGGTGACCGTCACCTCTGGGGTCCTGGCACCCCTGCCCTGCGACCTGGAGTCAGGGGGTGAGAAAGGCACAGGCCCTGCACTCACGGACCCAACCATGTGGAAGCTGGGGTGAAGGCCCGCCCGGGGGTCCTGCTGCTCAGACACAGCCGTCTCAGATGTTGTGGCCCAGGCAGGTCGGGGCTTCCACTTTCTCTCTGGGCCCCTCTGGATGAGCCCTGGCCTCCCTCTCTCCGGCCTCAGGGCCAGGAGTGAACCCTGCTATGCCCTGCAGAGCTGAGCACTGAGGCCGCAAAACAAACACACACACACACACACACACACACACACACACACACACCCCACCACCCCACCCCCAGCTCCCCAGACGGAGCCCAGGCCGGGCTGCACCACCTCAACAGCTCCATGGATAGCCCTGGGGACAGTGGGGGCACAGGGGTCCACTGAGCACTCCCTGCACACCCAGGGCAGGCCGCATCTCCAAGCACCTCACCACGGCCTCTGTGAGGAGGTCGTGGCCAGCAGCAGAGCGAGGGCCCAGCCACACCCCCACACCAGCCTGACACGGATGGAGAAGCCCCGGCCCTAGGAGTCGCCCCCACCCGAGGAGCCTCACCTGCCACACACCGGACCTGTGGGGCCTCGCCTGGGCACACGCCCATGCTGCGGAACCTCGCCTCAGCCTCAGTGGGGGGCAGCCCAGTGCAAAATGGGAATGCTGCTTGCACAGCTGCTGCCCATGGTAGCCCCCAGCCCGCGTTCCCCACCTGAGGAGGGGCCCCGAGAGTCACTGCCTGCGCCCTCAGCGCTCACAGCAGCAGAGGAGCAGTCGGAGGACAGGCTGCCACCCTGTGTTCCATGGGCAGGGAGCAGGTGCCAGCTCCCCTACCCACACCAACAAGAACCACCGACCCAAGACTCAGCAGCTTCTGAGGGCGCACACCATTCAGGGCACTCCCTGGAGGCCACTGCCACTCAGTCAGGACCCAGCACCCGTCCGTCACCAAGGAGGAAGACCCTGGCATCTCCCAGGACGCGCCAACCCCCAGGGGCGGCCCGAGGGAAGCAGGAGAAGGGCCTGGAGGGAAGTGGGGACACGAGGGCCAGACACACGAGGGCCGGGCACCTGCCGTGCCCACGCTGGCCTGCGGGTTGGGAGCCTGTCCTGCTGCACCCAAGGCCCACAGTGAAAAGCAACAATCCTGGGGTGGAAGGAGGGGACGCTGATCCTCACCCAGCCCCCACCCAACCCACACAGCCAGGGACGGCTCCCGGGCACCAAAGAGGGGACGGGAGCCATCCCCACAAGGGGCTGCTCTCACCACGCGGCTCTGCAGCCAGAGCCGCCCCCTTCCCCAGCCCCGGCCTCAGGCCGCTACCTCCCCTGTTCTTCTCGGGGTCCTCCATGTGGTCTGCATCCAGGTCAGGTCCCTGGGGAGGGCCCCAGGAGCCCCCTTCTCTGACTTGTCTCCACTGAGTGATGTCACAGACCCTAGCTGACATCACCACACAGCCTCAGTCCAGAGCTGGGGGAAAGCTAAGGGGAGGTACAGAGCGGGGACCTTGCTGGGCTGGCAGGTACAGGCCATCCCCTGCCCAGTGCCCTCACAGGCGCCCAGACTCACATGGACCCAGCCGTGGACCCTTCTAGGCCACTCTATCCAGGAGGGCCATGCCCTCTGACCTGAGGCCACAGGGGCTGTCCACTATGGGCTCGGTCCCCTACCACCCCGATTCATCTGCACCCCATGGAAAGAGAATGAGGGGGTTGCCGCACCCCAGGACCCATGAGCCCCAACACCAGGGCAGTTTCTGCATACCACCTCTAGTCCCGGGGCCACAGCAGAGCGGGGCCAGGCCCAGCCGATGACACAGGGAAGACAGAAGGGCACCCTCCAACATGGAGGGCTGCAGGAGCTGCCACCGGCTGGGACAATCCAACCTTAGGCTGCCCTAGGCCGGGAGTGGGTTTAACGCATCAGGTGCAAAAGAGAAGCTCCCACAAATCAGGGAAAGGAAGGACACCAAGGCAAGGGCGCCTCTCATCACCGTAAGAAGGCCCCATCCACGGCAGACGCCAACCTCACTTCACCGACCGAGCCAGAGGAGACACACCCAAGAGGTGAGCCAGCCTCCAAGAAGGCGAATGAGCCGTCACAGGTCACCATGGGCAAAGGCAAGGATTGGGGATTGGCTGAGCGCGGTGGCTCATGCCTGTAATCCAAGCACTTTGGAGGCCAAGGCGGGCAGATCACCTGAGGTTGGGAGTACAAGACCAGCCTGACCAACACAGTGAAACCCTGTCTTTAAATAAATAAATAAAAGGACTGGGGATAAAGGACACGGGAGAACCGCAGCATGGCGGTTGGGACCGGACCCAGCAGGGGGAGCGGGGGGCGCAGGCACCCCTGTCCCACAGGAGGTCAGCCTCACCCTGGTGATGGCAGAGACCACGGGTCACGGCAGAGACCCACGAGGGCCATGGCAGAGCTGACTTCAGGAAAAAACTGGCACTCACCCGGCGCTGCACACACAGGGCAAACACCACCGGTGGCCTTGGTGGGGGGCGCTGTCCCTGCAATGTCTCCACAGAGGGGAGATTTTCCCAAAACTTAGACTATGCAAACAGAGGCGAGGCTGCCATGGGCTCCAGGGCCTCAAACGCCACCAACAAAATCAAAGCGGAAGTGTTCGCAGCGAATCCATCACACAGACGGCCTTCAAGTGAGGGCATCCCCATCCAGGCCGCCACGGTGCACAGGACCCCACGGGACCCCTGCTCTGCCTCAGCAGCCTTGGCTCCGGTTCCTGCACCCTGGCCCGGGACAGAGCTGACCCGGCCTCCCCAGGGGGCAGGGGTCCACCAGCCCCAGGTGGTGCCACAGACAGGCAGGGGAAGCACACGGGCACAGTCAGACACCCCACCAGGACAGAGAGCTCCATGGCAGGCCCCAGGGCGGGTGGGACCCCAGGGGGATCCCGTCGGAATCCTGCTGCGTCTGGAGGACACTGGCCCTTCCGGAAGCGTAACCTCAGACAGGACAGCCGTGAGAAACCTGGGTGGGCGCGTTTCTATGTTTTTTTTTTTTTTTTGATTAAGTCTCACTCTGTCCCCCCGACTGGGGCGCCTTTTCCCAGCGTCATGTGGGAACCGCCATGCCATGTCCCGCCTCGGCTTCCCTCCACCCAAAGGAAGTCTCATGGGTCCCCGACTCCTGCCTCTGTGATGATCCCCACGAGGGCTGCAGCGGGGAGAGCACAGCGGGGTTCAGCTTCATTCCCCGGAGAGCCCCAGCAAGAGGGCCTGGTCCTGGGGAGCCGCCCAGGTCTTCGCCATCCCCTGGCCTCCATCCAGTCCTGCAAGACTCGGCTCCAGGCCCCGTGCGCCAGGCGACACCTGCTAGACACGTGCCCCTCAGAGTCAGGCCTGTATTCACCTCGACTTTGATCAAGGCCCTTTAGAAATTGGGTTTTTTAAAAATCATCTTCAAGTATATCGTTATTAAAAGGAACACGCGCCGGGTGCAGTGGCTCACATCTGTAATACCAACACTTTGGAAGGCCGAGGCGGGTGGATCATGAGGTCAAGAGATCGAGACCATCCTGGCCAACATAATGAAACCCCGTCTCTACTAAAAATACAAAAATTAGCTGGGTGTGGTGGCGTGCACCTGTAGTCCCAGCTACTCGGGAGGCTGAGGCAGGAGAATCACTTGAACCCAGGAGGTGGAGGTCGCAGTGAGCCAACAGTGAGCCAAGATCTCGCCACCACACTCCAGCCTGATACCTGGCGACAGAGTGAGACTCTGTCAAAAAAAAAAAAAAGACTATACTTTGGGAGTCTGAGGCGGGAGGATCATCTGAGGTAAGAGTTTGAGACCAGCCTGGCCAACATGGTAAAACTCTGTCTTGGGCCGGGCGCAGTGGCTCACGCCTGTAATCCCAGCACTTTGGGAGGCCGAGGCAGGTGGATCACGAGGTCAAGAAATCGAGACCATCCTGGTCAACATGGTGAAACCCCGTCTCTACTAAAAATACAAAAATTGGCTGGGTGTGGTGGCACGTGCCTGTAATCCCAGCTACTCAGGAGGCTGAGGCAGGAGAATTGCCTGAACCCAGGAGGCAGAGATTGCGGTGAGCCGAGATGGTGCCATTGCACTCCAGCCTGGGTAACAAGAGCGAAACTCTGTCTCAAAAAAAAAACAAAACTGTCTCTACTAAAGATAGAAAAAATTAGCTGGGCGTGGTGGTGGGCGCCTGTAATCTCAGCTACTCAGGAGGCTGAGGCAGGAGAATCACCTGAACCCAGGAGGTGGAGGCTGCAGTGAACCAAGATCATGCCGCTGCACTCCAGCCTGGGTGACAGAGCAAGACTCTGTCTCAAGAAACAAAAAAAGTTGAGCTGAGCACAAGGCAGCGTCTTGCCTTCTGTCACCTGGGCAGGCGTGGCGCTCACAGCCACGGATGTGGAATGTTTGCTGACACACACATCATCAGCACATTGGCCTCTGCCCACGCTCCTCACCATCTCCCCGGAGCCCTCGTCCAGCTCTGCACCCACTGCTCACCAAGGGGCCAAGGACGAGAGGAACCCGGTTGCCGGAAGACAAGGGACATGGTTGCCGCTGTGCAGAGATCTGGTCCCCAAACCCGGCAGGGGACCCAAACGATGCAGGTATTATGGATAGTGGTTGGCGGCTCCTCAAATGGTCACACCTGGAGTCACCATGTGACCAATGATTCCACTACTAGATGTCCACCCAAGAGAACCACCACCACACGGACATGGAGGAACTGTACACAGAGGCTCACAGCAGCCAACATGTGGATGCCACGCAAACATGCACCACGTAAATAAGCGCGTGGCCACCCACACACGGCAGCGACTCAGCCACGAACAGGAGCCAGGCTGGGACACGGGCGGACGCACCTTGAGGACGTCACACTCAGTGAGAGACGCCAGACACAGAAGGCCACACCCTGTGTGATTCCACCCCAGGAGGTCCCTAGAGCCCTCAGTCTCAGAGATGGAAAAGAAAGTAGGATGGGGGCTAAGGGCTGGGGGGCCGGGGGGTGAGCCTTTCATGGGGACGGCGTTTCACTTCAGGAAGATGGGAAGGTTCTGGAGAGGGCGGTGTGGAGGACTGACCGCAATGGGGATGGGCTCCCTGGGGAGGTGGTGAGAACGCTCTGGAATTAGGGGTGGTAGCTGCACACAGAGGACCCTTGACCAAGGCTGGTGTGAACTGACAGGTCCACTCAGATGCAGATTTTCTTCAATAAGGGTTTCCCGAGGGCGCCGGCCTCTCCTGCCTCCCTTCCGCTCTGCCACCCAAGGCAGCGAGACGCACCCACTGCACCTCGGCCCTCCACGTGAACGCGACGAGGACAGAGGCTTCCGTGGGCGTCATGGGCACCGCAGGAAGAGCAAGCAGGCTCCTCTCAGCACGTCCGAGGCTCCGGCCTCCTCACTGTGAGAACGCAGCGCCTGACACTTCAGGCACTCCAGGCGGGTGTGCAGGGACCTGTGTCTGCCCGAGGCCTCGGAAGCCGCGCAAGGGTGCTTTGCCGCATGAGGGCTGGTGCCCTAACCCATCCCGCTCAAGAGGCAGCTGTGCAAACACCACTCACGTGCGCATGCCGCGGAATTCTCCCGAATATGGCTGTTTCCACTCAAAAAAGTGGTTCGTGCTCTAAGGACAAGCCCAAGTAAGGCTGGTAAGAGAACAGGGAGCTGGGTCCGTGCAACGGGTTGTTATTTCTGGAGACGGGTCTCACTCTTCTCTCCCAGGCTGGGGTGTAGCGGCGCCATCTCAGCTCACTGCAACCTCCACCTCCCAGCAATTCTCCTGCCTCAGCCTCCCAAGTAGCTGAGATTACAGGCGCCCACCACCACGCCCAGCAAAATTTTTTATTTTTAATAGAAACAAGGTTTCCCCATGTTGACCAGGACGGTCTCAATCTCCTGACCTAGTGATCCGCCCGCCTAGCCCTTCCAAAGCGCTGGGATTACAGGCGTGAGCCACAGAGCCCAGCCGGGGTCACTAATTTTAAGAAAAGCAGCGAGCCCAGCTCTGGCCAGCACCCCGGGGAAGAGGGGGCGGGACAGGGCCGGGGAACGGCTCCCTCATGAGCAGGATCAAGTCTGACTCCAGGGCCGGGTACCTGCCAAAGCCACACCTCCTGCTCACAGGGCCAGTGTTTAACCGGCTCTCCCGAGGCACGGCCCATGAAGCCTTCAGAGGAACCGGAGCTGTGCGCCCACAGGAAGCAGAAGCCAGCGCCCGGGCACGAGGAGGGCGAGGCCACTCACCCCGGAGGCCCCAGGATGTCACCACACCCATCGCCAGGGTCCCAGCCGAACTCCGAGGGGCAGCGGGGTCCCTGACAATTTCCCCTGGGGCAGCCATGGCCCACCAAGGACTCAGGCATCGAGCCCCGCACACATACCACAAGCCCCACACAACGCCCCTCTCCGAGGCTTACAGGCAAGACTGGCGGGATGGCATGGCACGCACACACCTGTGCAGACCCCAGCGTGCGCGTACGCATGCGCGCGCGCGCGCGCACACACACACACACACACACACACACGACCCCTGCAGCCACAAACCCTGGCCTGGCCCACCTGCAGCTCCAGGCCCCAACTGGGTCCCCCCACACACTCACGCTCAGGAACTCACAGGTACACCCAGCCAGTCGGAGGCAGATGCCGTCCCCTCCCATCCTCACCCTGGCCCCGAGTGCTGCCTCAGGTTCCCATCCCAGTATGTGTCCGCAGGGAGAACCTGGGCATCCGCCCCAGGACCACAGCCGCCGGGACGGGACAGGGTCGGATGGGGAAGGGCAGAGATCACTGCAGGCCACACGAGCATCCAGGGGTCACCCGGGAAACAAGGCCCCTAAGGAGGCCGGGCCCTACAGGTCACACCGCCCGCAGCACCGCGGCCACGGCAGGAGGCCTGGCCGTCAGCCTCATGGGTGGGGACCCTCCAACGGTCAGACCAGGACTCGGATGCCTCATTCCGGCAGGTGAAGTTTCTGGAAAACTGAGGGATAACCTTTAAGCACAACTTTTTTCAAGGCTCCAAGGACAATTATGCATCAAGGGAAAATCGCTGGCGACAATGAAAAAGCCTCTTGGATTTTCTCCGCCTTTTAAATAGTGACAGGGTCGGGCGCGGTGGCTCCCGCCTGTCTTCCCAGCTACTTGGGAGGCCTGGGCGGTCGCACCACCTCAGGCCGGGGGTTCAAGACCAGCTTGGACAACACGGCAAAACCCGGTCTGCACTAAAAATACAAAACCTAGCTGGGCATGGTGGCAGGTACCTGTGATCCCAGCTACTCAGGAGGCCGATGTGGGAGAATTGCGTGAACATGGTGGAGGTTGCAGTCAGCTGAGATTGCGCCCTGCACTCCAGCCCGGGCGACAGAATGAGACTCTACCTAAAAACAATCAATAAACAGCGAGGGGCCTGCCCTGGCCTGGGACCCCGAGCCTCATGCCATCTTTCCTCCTGCTGCCCTCACCTGCACCCACTCCTCTGAGGGGCCTGGGACCCAGAGGCGAGGCAGCTGCCCCCACAAGTGTGGGGTGCGAGTGACCACCTGGGACAGGCCTAGGGAAGTGCTTCCCACCTCTTCCGGGAGCAGGCGTGTGGCCTCTGCACCTGGATGGAGTCTGCTGTGACAAGAGTCACGCCCCATGGGTCACAACAGTCACACCAGCATCTCTCGTCCCACTCCCCTGGGCTGCCTTTCCCACTCATGACCGACAGCCTTGGTCCTTACCCCACGCCCTCTCCAGGGAGGCCAGGGCTCTACCCCAGTGCAGCCAGAAGTACAGCAGATGTGGATCAAGGGAGAGCTGGCTGTTTTCTGGGTTTTTTGGAGACAAGGTCTTGATATCACCCAGGCTGGAGTGCAGTGGCGCGATCTCAGCTCACTGCAACCTCCTGCCTCCCGGGTTCAAGCGATTCTCCTGCCTCAGCCTCCTGAGTAGCTGGGATTACAGGCGCGCGCCACTACACCCAGCTAATCTTTGTATTTTTAGTAGAGAAAGGGTTTCACCACGTTTGCCAGGCTAGTTTTGAACTCCTGACCTCAGGTGATCCACCCGCCTCAGCCTCCCAAAGTGTTGGGATTACAGGTGTGAGCCATCGCGTCCAGCCAGAGCTGGCTGTTTTCAACGTGATGTGACCTGAAACTGTCTCGTGCTGCATGGTGCAGGGAAGCCTCTGGGCCACCCCAGAAACACAGCTGGGGGTGACAGGAGGGGCCCTGGGCAGGGCAGGCAGAGGGC